TCTCTCTCTCTCTCTCTCTGTATTCTATAATAATTGGAGTTCCTCTGAGAAGAACTGTCTGTATTTATTTCCTTTTTTTTTTCTTTTTTTTTTCTCTTCTTTTGCGTTTATCACTCTCTGCTTGTTTATTCACTTATCAATGAAATGATTAAATGAAATGGTGAAAAAGTATGATGAGATTGATATAAGCATATCTGCGCAAAGGCACTTTCTCAGTTCATCATTTTTTTTTTTTTTTTGCCTTCTTCTTGAGATTGTCGGATTTCCTTTATTTTACGTATTGTTCCTTTTCCCCCCCCTTTTTTTTTGTTCAGCTGTTACTCTTGGTATTTAGTGCTTTTTTTTATTATTTCATTCTCTATTTTATATATATATATATATATCTTCTACAATTACTTACAGCGATGAGGCTATTTTCATTTCTAATAACAGTCTTTTTGTTGTTGTTATTTATATTCCTTTTTTTTTTCTTCTTTTCTTGCGCTGTTGGTACGTGTGTGTCTCTCATTTCCCCTCAAGGAACAATCAATATTGAACAGTTCCCAATATATATTATCTCATAAACGGACATATATATATATATATATATATATATATATATATATTGATTTATTTTTTTTGTATATATTTCTGTGTTTGTATAGATACTTACTTGAAGTTGTCATGTTTTCTCTTCTTACTTGTGATCCTTTTTCTTTTCTTTTCTTTTCTTTTTTCTTCTTTTCTCTGTTGTGAAGCTGTTATATACGGGTTTGCAGAGAAAGTGGGGCCAACTGAGATCATACGGCTACAATCACACACACACAGTTAGATCCACACAAACAAAAGGGGGGTTTGGCTTTCTTTTCCTAGTTATTATTATTATTATTATTCTTTCTTACGGCTCTGGGGGAATAACGTTATCTATATAAAGGAAAAGAAACAAGAGAAGATAATTGGTTAAAAAGACGAAGAAAACGAAAAGAAGAAAAAAAAAAAAGACGTGATAATAGTACAAGAGGAATAATAAGAATAACAAGAAGAAGAATCAACTCCTTCAATAAAATAAAAAGAGTGTATAAAGTAAGATTCACACACACTCACACACAGTGTGAGAAAAGAAAGAGAAAAAAGAAAAAGAATACTGTGTGAGTCCAAGGTAGAGACTTGGTAAAGTACTTCATATCTATTCCATTCTGTGTACTACTCACTGAAAAGTAAATAAACGAAAATTAATAAATAAATAAAAAGAGAAAGAACGAAAGAAAAGAAAAAAGAAAGAAAAGAATAGCGGACGATCAATCAAAATGACGTCTAACAGTAACACTCCAAAGACGATAACCCCACGGCCCTCCCAGACATCTGCCACCAAAGTATATGTACGCATTCGTCCCTTTCACCCACATGAAATCCAACAACAACAAAAACAATATGAAAAAGAGGAAGTACCCCGAACAGTTAGACTGGCAGCAGATGGATCTCAACTAACAATTCTCGATCCCTCCAAAAACTTCGCCCAACGACAAACATACGCCTTTGAACGTTGTTTTGATGCCTCCACTGTGGAAGGGGAACAATTGGCGGTGTATAATCACATTGGGGTTCCCGTGCTGGGGAATGTCGTGGATGGATATAATGGATGTATCTTTGCCTATGGACAAACAGGGAGTGGTAAAACCTATACAATGATTGGACCACACACAGTAACAACAACAACAACAATAGCAGCAGCACATCGAATGCAAGCAGATCGAACATTTTCACATATGGAAATACAAAGAAGTCCAAGAGAGAGTAAAGCTCTTACACCTACAGTATCAGATGATACGGTAAAATTAGCTGCAAGTTTTGCTGGAGGTATGGGTATTGTAGAATCTACAGAAAATACTTCAATAGGGGATGAAGGTATTATTCCACGATTAGCACGTGATATTTTTAATTCTCTTCGTCTTAAACATAAACAAAACAGTACGCATTCTTTTCGTGTAGAAATGGAATATTATGAGATTTATAATGAAAAGATTTTTGATCTTATTGGGGGAAGTCATTCAACTGAACTCCGATTACGTCATCAATCTACCCCAGGTACAGGGGCATATGTAGAAGGACTTGTACGTAAACAAGTAACGGAAGAAAAAGAATTATTACAATGGATTAGACGAGGAACATTAGATCGACACACGGCATGTACAAAAATGAATGATCGGAGTAGTCGTAGTCATGCCATTGTTTGTCTTCATATTGTACAGGTAACTTTAGATGAGAATGGAAATAGTATAAGGGTTAGTAGTAAGTTAAATTTGGTAGATCTTGCTGGTTCTGAACGTACAGGAGCTAGTGGTGTGGAAGGTAAACAATTTAAAGAAGCCACAAAAATTAATCTCTCTCTTACGGCTCTTGGTCGTGTAATAGATGCTCTTGCAGATATTTCCTCTGGAAAGTCTGGTGTATTTTGTCCATACCGTGATTCTAATCTCACCTGGTTGTTAATGGATTCCTTAGGTGGAAATAGTAAAACTTCTATGGTGGCTACCATATCCGCCAGTGTCCCTCACTTTGATGAGATGTGTCAAACCCTTCGCTACGCCTCACGAGCTAAACAAATTATGACTAAAGCTGTTATTAATGAAGATCCACAAGTTCGACAAATTAAAATGTTAACATTGGAAGTTGCAAGACTAAAGGAACTTTTGCGTGATCAACCACAATGTGATTATACAAATGAAGAAGTGGAAGAACTTCGAGAACGAATTTTACGATTGGAACAAGAAGTTGCTGATCGTAATTATACCATTAATGATTTAAAAACGCAGTTAGAAGAAAAAAATGGGGTATTAATACAACAATTAGAAGAAGAAAATCGTCAGTTACAACAAGAAATGAAAAATTTCAATCGTACAAAATCCATGGTGACGAAATTACAAGGGGAATTAAAGTCTAATGACGATGTAATTGTAAAGTTACGTGAACAGATAGTAACTTTAGAAAAGGAAAAGGAAGATTTCCTCTCATCCCGTTCTGTGGTCATCTCACCTGGAATGGTCTCACGTGGAGAAGAGAGAAAAAGTAGTTTATCGTGTCTTCACTTAAGCCTCAAGACTCTTAATGGATTAAAACGTCTTGGTATCTCTACTACAAATACGGATTACACACAATTGTTAGAGTCTGTCACGCTGTATGCAACTAAGGCCACAGATAACTATGAGATGATGTCTGAGAAAAATACAATGATGATTGAATCCCACAGTCGAGCTCTACGTGAAAGTCTGATTAAATTGGAATGTAAAGAAAGATCTGTACTTGCTACCATTGGGGAAAAACTCATTGCAGCTCATACAAAGGCATGTATGAAGGAAAATTCAACTGTAAAGGAAGAAGAAGGAGGAAAGTCACGAGTAACATCTGAGACTTCTTTACGGGAAAATCTCATTATGAATTATGCAGATAAAATTAGAAAGAAAGACAAGGAACTTGCTAATATTTCAGCACTTCTTAAATCTCAAAAAGAACATGCACGTATTCAAAAGGAACAATCAACGAAACTAGAAGAGGAAATAACACAATTAAAAGAACAAATGGAGGCTTTAACAGAGAAGTTTCGTCGTTCAAAAGAACAATGTGAACAACAGCAGAAGGAGAGACAAATTTTATGCGATAGTGAAATAGGACTAAAAGAGAAAATTGAATCTACCCAATCAGAGTTGTCAGTTGCGGAGGAAAAGATGAAACTCCTTTTACAGTCTCAACATACCACTATTTGCGCAATGAGTAACTTAATAGCTGAAGCTCTTGAAGAACAGTCTCGTATTTCTGCAGAAGAAGCGGAAGAACGTCAGAGTATAGGACTTCACAGAGGTAAGATACTCCAAAAATATCAAGAAGAAATCATTCAAAAAGAGATAAAAACTCTCCAAGAAATATCTGCTAACTCTATTCAAGAAGCTGAAGAAAAACTTCAATTGTTAGAAGAAGAGAAGAAATCATTGGAACAACAGCTTGAACAAGGTAGACAAGAACAATTAGATTCCTTTAGTTTAACAACAATGGTGTATAAAAACCAATCAGATATTATACTTCAATGGATACAGGAAAAAAAACAGTTGGTAGAAACCTTATATATCGATTACATTAAAGATCTTCACCAGAAACATTCATCACTATCACAAGAAATTAAAACTGCCAAACAAGAAGCAGATGAAAAAATAGAATGTTTAAAAAATGAGTATGAAATGACATTGACGTCACTTCACGATAAACTTAAAGTAGAAAAAGAAGAATATAACGATAAAATGGAACACGCCAAATCACTCTATCAAGAAGAATTACAATCACAATACACTCAACACCGTGCAGAGTTAAACGAAATACAACAATCTATTATTGAACTCATCACGTCAACGGAGCATCAGCTATATACTGCATTAGAATATAATGAAAGTAAAGAAGAGTTTTTGATTCACCAAATACAAAAGGAATATAATAAATATATCCAACAACTAGAGAGTCAGATAAAGGATTATATCAACTCGACAACTGCTCTACAAATGGAGCTAACGGAAACTCAGAATACCCACCTTGAAGAAAAACGTTTACTTCATGAACAACAAGCAATGACTACTGCACAACTGCAGGACAACCTCCAACAAACTCGTGATCAAGCATCTGAACAGCTGCAACAACTCCAAGAGAATATGAAAAATAACGTAGAAAGACTAGAAGAGATTATTATAAAAACTAAAGAAGAGAGAGATTCTGCGTTAAAAATATCATCAGAAAAGGAACAAATGCTCCTGAGTTTAGAAAATCTATTAAAAGAACAGAATACGCTTTACACTACACAGATTAACTCCATTGCAGACACCCTTGGTGAAGCTGTGGAGAAACTGCGTGCTGACCACACGAAACTTGTGGAGGATACAAGGCAACAGGCCGCTGAGGCTGAGCGTCTCCACGAGGAGAAACTGTGCTGCATGCAGCAGGAACACACGCTTGCCATTGATACGCTGGAGCGTAAGGTTGAAGTTGCTAAATCCGTGCTTTCGCAGCAACGTGTGGAGGCGCAGCGGGAGTTGGAATCTCTGCGTGCTGCAAGTGCTGCCCAATTGCTGAGCCTGTTCGAACTGAGCAGTGCACTCATCGTGGAGCACTCAGGGGAACGACAGGCAATCATGAGTGAAGAGGAGGCGGTACGAGTGGAGCTTGTGGCTGGGTGGCGGGACGCGGTATCACGGGCTGCCCACAGCAGCGACACGGGACGACTGTTGCTTGATGAGCACATGTCATTTGCGATGCACTGTGCTGCAGAGCACGCATTGCGGGTGGAGGAGATTTGTGCGGCACTTCTGGAAACAGAGCAGGAACTGCACTCAATGCAACAGGAGCGGCTTGCAGCTTGTATTGGCGCTGAGATGCACGAGCGACAGGCCCTTTTGACGTGTGAAGAGAATGAGCGACACTCCTTGTACTGCACACTCCAACAGGAAGTGCGTACCCTCTCACTTCAGCAGTGGTATGATCGGGTCATGGATGGCAAGGTGAGACTCATGAATGAGCACGTGGGTACTTTGACAGGCACCCTTGGTGAAGCTGTGGAGAAACTGCGTGCTGACCACACGAAACTTGTGGAGGATACAAGGCAACAGACCGCTGAGGCTGAGCGTCTCCACGAGGAGAAACTGTGCTGCATGCAGCAGGAACACACGCTTGCCATTGATACGCTGGAGCGTAAGGTTGAAGTT